ATCCTGCCTCAGTCCCCAGAGTGTCTGTGAGTGTCTACAGAGGTGCAGAGTCCACCTGGCTCTTCTTCTGGTTACCAGCGTGGGGGATCTCTGTTGTGCCGCTGCTACACCCTATCCTCTTGGTGTATCTGAGTGGGCTTTTTACCACCCCTCTGCCTCAGCCTCCCAAGTACCAATTACAAAAATGTACCACAACTTCCTTATTCTATCTTAAAACCCTGTTCCCAATGGGCAGTTCTACACAATTATTAGCCCTCATGGATTTGTTTTGTTTTTCTTTTCTTACTATTATTATTTTTTTTTGTATTTTTTTGGTTTTTCGAGACAGAGTTTCTCTGTGGAACAGCCCTAGTTGTCCTGGAACTAGCTCTGAAGACCAGGCTGGCCTCAAACCCACAGAGATTCCTCTGCCTCTGCCTCCCAAGTGCTGGGGTTAAATGTGTATGCCACTAGCCATTTATATTAAAACATTTTAAACTTATTTTCTTGTGTATGGCTGTTTTGTCAGCATGTATGTCTGTATAGCACATGAACACAGTGCCCAAGATTTCCTCTGGAATGGAGTTACAGTTGATTTTTAGCCATCATGTGAGTTCTGGGAATTGAACCTGGGTCCTTCAAAAGATTAGTCAGTGCTCTTATACTCAGAGCCATCTTCCTGGCTCCATGTATCTCTTAGTTTTGAGCCCCAGCCAGATTGACCATTCCAGTTTTCCACAGTTGGAGACTGCTAATGTCAGCTGTATGGTAACACTCTTGGTTTACCTTTCCTTTGGAACCACAGCCGCTTTTTGGGTGGGTTTGAGTCAGGGTCTCATGTAACCAAGGGTCAACTTGGGTTTCTGATCTTTCTGCCTCCCACTGCCCTGTGCTTTGTTTTGTGCCTGCTACATAAGTTCTCTACCACCCAGGCCAAGTCTCCTCTTACAGCCTCCACCTGCTGAGCCTTCCCTGTGCTATAAAAGAAAGGAAAAGTTCTCAGACCAAGGGCTTTTTATTTGCCCCAAAGGGACAGAGGGCAGGGATAAGGGACAAAGACAGGAGACAGAGGAAGAGGGAGAAGGGGACAAGGGACACATCTTTTGTCTCAGAGGAGGACAAAGGATGGTCTCTGGATAGAGAGGAGACAGGCATGGTACACAGGAAGAAAATGGCAGTTTATAACAGTACAAGGAGAAACCCCGTGTAATCCCAGCACTTAGGCGGCAGAGGCAGTAGGATCTCTATGAGTTCTAGGCCTGCCTGGTCTACGAAGTGAGTTCCAGGACAGCCAGGGTTGTTACACAGAGAAACCCTATCTCTGTGGGGGGCGGGGTCATGGTTCACACTTTTAATCCCGACGGGGACAGAACAGTCAGGGGAAAAAAAGTCAAGCAGGAAGTGAATGTTGTTTTCCCCCATGATCCTATGTGTGAAGTGTGCTGCATGATTAGAGTTTATATTTGTAATTAAGATGGGGATATATGAATCCTGACATTGTAGAAAGACACAAACTTGTTTTGTCTATGCTTCAAGGAAAACCTTTCTAGAACGCCTTCATACCTGCCATCATTGTAACCCCAAGGGACAGAGTACAGCCCTCGAATTAGACTGCTTTAGCTTGCTGGTGTGGTGGGGAAAGTCCTTCGGGTCAAGCATGGAAGTGCCAATGTCACAGAAATTGAGCCTAGAGCTGGGTGCAGTGACATATGCCTTTAATCCCACTCAAGGGGCCGAGGGAGGTGGACTGAAAAACGCAATAAACCCACAACGTAAAGGGTATTTCAGATAAAATCCAGCACACATTTGCAGTGGCTAGAAATAAGGTTGGAGTCACAAAGAAAAACCGCCACTCCAACTTAGGTGTCCAGACAGGAAAGCTTTACTCTTGGGAGGGTGTGCACTAGAGAGTTACAATTGTGAGCTGCCATGTGGGTTCTGGGAATTGAACCTGGGTCCTCTGGAAGTGCTCTTAACTGCTGAGCCATCTCTCCAGCCCAGAAAGGCTATTCTTAAACTAGAAATCCTCCTGCCTCAGCCTCTCTAGTACACCACCACATTTGGCTCAAAACCAGTGTTCACACAGGAGACTTTGGCACACACTCAGCCCTACATGGGTTGTCTCCATCAAATCCCTCCTCTCAGTGCTCAGGGAACCCCATGGAAGAGGCGGTAAAGACTGCAAGAGCCAGAAGGGAACACCACCCTCGGAATTAACATAGCAAAGCACCATCTGTACTCAAAACTGAAGCAGCAGGCCCAGGTCCTCTCTGCTTATCTTGTGGCTTCCAGTTTAGTCTTTTTAAGGCATCCCTGAGTCTGTCTCTGACTGTTGTGCTTTCTCTTGCTCTCTTTTTCCTTCTGTTGGTTTGTCCTGCCCAACTTCAATGTGATAGTTTTTATCTTATTATACTGTCTTATATTTTAAAGAACGAATGAATGAAAACCTAACCACTAGGGTAAAACAGGTTAAGGGCTGAACTGCTATTTATACCTACTGGGAGCAGAAAAATCAGTTTTTCTCCAATACAGTGACACTAGGTATATCAACCACTCCAAGGCAGGCCTCACTTGACCAACATATAATGGATTCCAGATCTTGTGTGTGTGCTTTTGGGAGGGGGGACAGTATTTCCTTTTCTTGGGCTTTGTTGTATTGGGGTTTTTTTTGTTTTGTTTTGTTTTGGGTTTTTTTGGCAAAACTGCTTGATCATTGGTCATGGTAGCCCCTGCTGTTATGATAAATCTTTCTGCCAAAAGCCGCCTGAGCCCCATTGCCACGTGTGAGCTTTACAACAGCCGCCTGCCCGAGTTAGGCCCAAATGAATACACAGAGAGACTTGTATTAGTTACAATGCTGCTTGGCCAATGACTAGGATTCTCATCTGTTAGGTCAGTCTCAATATCATCAATCTATATATTTGATAAGACTTATCTTACCGGACGCCTTATTGGCGTCCCTCCTAGCTGGTGGATCACATCGTGCCGCTGAAGCAGGAGCCGAGGGAAAAAGAGGGCCCTTCCTGTTTATCTTTCACTTAAATATGAGTCTCCTTGCTATGTCACTTCCTGCCTGGATTAGCACTTCTCTACTACATTTCCCAGAATCCTCTTTGACTCCTAGTTCTGTCTAACTTGCTTTCTCACCACTTCTCTTTCTCAAATTAGTAAACATATATATATATATATATATATGTTTTTTGAGACAGGGTTTCTTTGTGGTTTTGGAGGCTGTCCTGGAATTAGCTGTTGTAGACCAGGCTGGTCTCGAAGTCACAGAGATCTGCCTGCCTCTGCCTCCCGAGTGCTGGGATTAAAGGCATGCGCCACCAGCACCTGGCTCATTTTTTAATAATTTAGTGTTGTGTGTGCACACGACACAGCACTTCTGTCTCAGTGTGTGTGTCAGAAAGCACTTCCAGGAGAAGCCTGTTTTACTACATTAGGCTTGGTAGTGTGGGTCTTATGCCCAATAGGCTATCCCACCTACTCATTTTTTTTTTAATCCAGCCCCTTGAACTACAGTTACAGACAGTTGTGGATGCTGGGAATGAAACCCAAGTCCTCTGCAATTACTCCATGATCTTAATTGCTAAACATCCCCCCAGTCATTCACATTTATATAGATGGTTTTTTGAGAGACAAGGTTTCTTTGTGTAGCCCCTGCTGTCCTGGGACTCACTCTGTAGACCAAACTCAGAGATCCTCCTGCCTCTGCCTCTGCTTCCCAAGTACTGGAATTAAAGGTGTGTGTCACCACATCACCTGGCTCTCCCCTATATCCTTAACACATACACAAATGAAAAGAAAAACAGGGCATGAAACAAAATTCTTTATTGCTACCACAATATACAACGGGTAGACTTAGGTACTCATTAACAAAGTAAAATTTCTCCCTGGACATTTATAATGCAGTTCTTAAGGCCTGTCAATCCTTTAAGACAGGACAGGGACATTTGTCCATCTGCTAGATAACTTTCTGTTCAGGGACAGTCAGAGGGCTGGAAGCCCTGAAGAACAGGACCCCACAGAAGTCATTTACAAGCCGGCCATGGTGACATACTTCAGTAATCTTAGCATTTAGGAGGTTGAGGCAGGAGGATTTCAAGGGCAGCCTGCACAATATAAGACTATGAAAGAAAGAGACAGAGAGGGAGCAAGCAATGTGACTTATATCTCTGATTTTGTTTCAGCTGTCTGTGATACATCCACAGCATCTCCTAGTCTAAATGTACTAGACAGAATGCCTCACTCAGCTATCCCCCAAAGCCCTCATTGGAGAATTGCTCATTTTAGGTTGGACATTTTGTACACACAAAGCACTGAGCAGACACACAGTGGGACCTAACAGACACCCAGGCAGAAGTAAAGAAAAGACAATGTGAGGCTGGAGAGATGGCTCAGTGGATAAGAGCACTGGCTGTTCTTCCAAAGGACCCAGGTTCAATTCCAGGCACCCACATGGGAGCTCACAACTGTCTACAACTCCAAGATCTGACACTGTCACACAGATATACATGCAAGAAAAATGCCAATGTACATAAGGCAAAAATAAATAAATTTAAAAAAAAAAAGAAAAGACAATGTCTGAGTGCCTTCAGTTTACTTTGGTGATATATTACTCAGGATTCTCTAAAGGCTAAAGGAACAGAACTGACAGAAATATATATATACATATACATATATTACAAATACATGAAGTTTAGTAGACTAGATGGCAGGCTGTGGCCTAGGTAGTCGGACAATGACAATCACTGGCTCACAACAAAAAGACCTAGGATGTAGGAGTTGTTCATCCACAAGGCTGGAAGTCTCTGCCAAATCTTCCTTCCTTCTTTCTTTCTTTCTTTCTTTCTTTCTTTCTTTCTTCCTTTCTTTCTTTTTTAAATAAGAGATTTCTTTTTCTTTCTTTCTTTTTTTTTGGTGTTTTGAGACAGGGTTTCTCTGTGTAGCTTTGGAGCCTATCCTGGCACTCGCTCTGGAGACCAGGCTGGCCTCGAACTCAGAGAGATCCACCTGCCTCTGCCCCTGCCTCCCGAGTGCTGGGATTAAGGCGTGCACCACCAAGGCCCGGCAGATTCCTTCTTTCTACACATGATGCCAAGGGAAGGCATGGCTTCAATTTAGGGTAGGTATTTCTTCAAATAATGTGGTAAAGAAAATCTCTCACCTCACAGGATTGCCCAGCAGTTTGGGTTCTACTGACAGTCATGCTGACAACCAGGTCTGTCTACCATTACAGATGTCTAGTGATCTTGGACAAGAGGGCAGACAACACAGGGTCTTTCCAGCTCAACAGTCAAAGGAAAACAGTGACCCTGAAATCAGGTTAATGGCAGGGAAGGACACCAGGAGAACATGCAGGTTTCAAAATCTGGCCCTTACTTTATCATGACCTGACAGAACTCTTTTAGAAAATGCAGAATTGGGGCTAGAGAGATGGTTCAGCAGCCAAGATGTTTCTGCAGAGGATCCTTGTTAGACTTCCAGCCCCCACATGGTGGTTCACAGCCACCTGTAACTCCAGCTCCAGGGGATCCAACCCTTCATCTGACCTCCACAGGCACCAAGCACACATATACACAGGTAAACCACTCACACATGAAATGAATCTTTAAGAAAGAAATACGAAATGCAGAACTATCTTTTTTACACCATAAACCCTTGTCCTCGGAGCCCCACTGTTTTCCATGTCAACCTCAGTCCTTGGGGTCTGTCCCTACTGCACACCATTTTGTTTCCTAAACACTGAGCAGTGAGTGTGTGGCCATAAGCTCTGGGTCCCCTTGATGGAATAAATACCTATTGCTAGGCTTTCATTTCTCAGCATCAAGCAACCTTCCCCCATTTACTGCCGACAACGACAAAGTCTGGTCTCTAGGTCATAGACACAGCGCTGACAACATTCATGGCAGACATATGTAGCAAAGGAGACTCCCTTGGGCTGCCTTACAGTAATGAGTGTATCCACGAGCTCAGAACAAAGTTGGGTGAATCTTCTCAAGTGGACATCACCCCTGTCATCATAGCATTCCAAAGGGGCAGGATACAGCTCCTGGGTCAGCTGTCTTAGGTTGGCTGTGTGATATAGGAGGTCCTTCAGGACAGCCATGGAGATGTCATTGTCATAGAAACTGACCCTGGTGAGTTGGGAGCACTGGCTCAGGGCAGGCAGGAGGGTAATGAGCTGGGAGTCCACCATCCAACAGCCCTCCAACTCTAGTGTCTTCAGAGTGTCTGCAACACTCTTTAGGAGATCATGGAAAGGCACGGGATATAAATCATTTAATTTCACAAGTCTCAGATTCAGGTGTTTGAGCTGATGGAGAGACTTACTCTGGGACAAGGAATTCAAGTCTAACTGTGAAAGCTTGCACATAGTGATGGACAGGGTCTCCAAAGGGGTCTTCAGGTACCTAAGGAGAGACCAAGTGATTAGTTGTGGCACAAAGGGATGGAGAGAGTTGGTGTAATGGTTAGCATAGACGTAAAGGTGACCATTTATCTTCAAGTCATGGGACCAATACCCAGCATGCTGCTTATTAGAGTCTCACTATTCTTGCAGAGAGAGGCCTGTCAACATCAGTATGGGACTTACCCAGTCCATGGGTGTACAGCTCCCATTACTATCAAGGAGAGCACCTGTGCTGGCCACATTAGCCCAAGGCACACACAGGAAGAACTAACCCATGAAAGATCTGGAAAAGTCTTCAACTATTTTCTGCCTCTCCCAGTACAGTCTCTGTCCTTATTTAAAGTTCTTCACCCCTACCTCTCACCCACAATGGCTACCACTCATTTCTACCCAGGCCCTACCTGGGATCAAAAAGGGATTTCACACAAACACTAAGCAGAGTTCTCCTGGGGATCTGTGTAGTGGGTGTGGGTCCTCTCCAGTTCTGGGCCCACTGTTCCGACCTACTCCCTTCCCCCTTATCTTAGACATAATGCCAAGGAAGAATACACAGCGCACGCTTTACTGTACACATCTATCTGACCCACCCAACTGACCTAGCAAGGTGGCTCTCTCCACACCTTCCACCCCAGCTCAGCCTCTACTTAACAAGTAGTCACTGAACTAACTGAGCTCTCCTCTTGACTCGTGTAAAATTGAAATAAAACCCTACTGAGATGCTCTAGTGACACTTGATTGTGAAATCCACAGTGGCTAGCTGACCTCACTCAGGTGCCCACTTCTCTCTAAGGAAGAGGAAGGTTTGCCATGGTAGCAGAAATCGTTCTCCATCCTACCTTACCTGAACAACTGTTTCATGTGCTCACTGGCAAAGTAGATGCCATTCATTGAGAGATGCTGGAGACAGTTGAGTTTGGAGAACTGAGAAACGAACTTGGTGATACACTTCTGTATGTCTGCAGGGGTATTTAGAACCTTGAAGGTGTTCTTGTGGCTCCGTGTTAAGAGGAGTTTTTGAAGGTTTCTCATCTGGTCCAGGTAAGATACAAAATGCACCAGAGCGGACAGACTCCAACCTGTATTCAGTTCCAGCTCCTGGATGCTGTCAGGCTGGAAAACCATCAAGACTTTCCTGACTGTGTACACGGGCAATGCCCAAATCTGCATCTTCACACAGCACAGCCTGATGAAACTTCTCCTCTGCTGGGCCCACTGCAGCAAGTATGTTTGGTGTTCATTCAGATGGAACCTGAGGCAAAGGTTGGCGACCACCTTCAAGCGCTGCCTCAGTGCGTATCTAGGGCAGGGCTTTGCTGTTTGCTTTTTTTCACACACAGTCTCTTGTGAGCAGGCTCCACCCTCCTCCACTCCAGCACAAATATCCCAGAGACCGTGGTGCACACTCCTCAGGTCCAGCACCTGAAGCTTCCGCTTCCTGTGAGCAAAACAGGTAGAAACATGAGAAGGGGACACTCCTCAGGTCCAGCACCTGAAGCTTCCGCTTCCTGTGAGCAAAACAGGGAGAAACGTGAGAAGGGGACGCTGGAGAGACGGCTCAGAGGTTAAGAGCGCCGGCTGCTCTTCCAGAGGTCCTGAGTTCAATTCCCAGCAACCACATGGTGGCTCACAACCATCCGTTATGAGATCTGGTGCCTTCCCTGGCCTGCAGGTGTACATGCAGACAGAACATTGTATACATAATCATCCGTTATGAGATCTGGTGCCTTCCCTGGCCTGCAGGTGTACATGCAGGCAGAACATTGTATACATAATAAATTAAAAAAAAAGAAAGAAAGAAAGAAAGAAAGAAACATGAGAAGGTACAAAAGACCAAAGCCAGGCCAGCTTTTCCCCCACATCTCCGCTGCTGCCACCTGTCCCCTGCTCTCTGCTATGCATGTTTCTGCTTTTCAGTGCTGGGTCTCCACATGGCACCTCAATGCCTGCCAGGCAAGGGCTCTTTGCCTGAGCTGCCCCTAAAAACCTGCACTGCTTCCTCCACTTAGTTAAACTCTTGACTCTGTCTCTTCCACTTCCAGAACTCATGTGAGAGCCAGGGAAAGGTTTATTCCACTGAGGCTACGGCTGTTTAAGCTCCACTCCACACCCAACTGGCCTTTATACTGGGGCTCAACAGGGGTCAAGGCTCCTGCAGTCTTCCAACATGATACCATCAGAAGTCTCTGACTTTTGACCCCATTCTCCCTTACCCCAGTGTCTACCATTCTACCTTACTTGGGTCTTGCTTACCTGGGGAGAAATTTCTGTGTCCATAGCATGTCTACTCCATCCAGCACAGCCTGCAAGGTCTCCAGGTGGGGGGTCCTCATCAGCGATCCCACAGGGAGGCAGGGGAAGGGCCATACTGCTACCATAGCCCTCAGGATGTTAGTTTGTCTGTGATTGAAGGCCTCCTTGAACACTGGCGGGAACAGGACCCTGGGTAGCTGCTGCAGAGCAGAGACAGCCACAGTCTCGTCCCTCAGCAGGCTCTGTACTGCCAGCTGCATGAGTATGGGCGGGGCTTGGCCACTCATCCTTCGGGTCTTCAGTCTGAAGGAACCTGATGAAACATAACAGAGGCTGTCTTAGGAAGCCCCACTTCTCACCTGTCTTCATTATTGTGTTCTATTGTGATAAGACATCAGTACTGAGGCAACTTATAAAATCATTTAACTGGGGGCTTGATTACAGTTTCAGAAGGTAAATCCATGACCATCGTGGTAGGCAGGCAGGCACTAGAGCAGTGGCTTACATCTCATCTGCAAGGGAAATGCAAAAAGGGAGTCTCGAATGGGTTTTTGAAACCTTCTCTCACAAGGCCCCATCTCCTAGTCCTTCCAAAACAGTGCACCAACTGGGAACCAAACATTCAAATACAGGAATAACATATGGCCATACTTTCTCAACTGTGCTATCTAAATCCAGCCACTGTTCCTCCAAATTCAATTCCCACTGGGAAGGGGTACCCAGGAACCTAAGAGCTGAACCCCATCCCTTTATGGCAACTTTAGGAACACTGATTATTGACAAATTTTGAGTCCCCGGTTATTGGAAATCCACTGACACTGATATAATAAGCCAATCAAACTGAAATAATAAATCCAGGTTTAATGAAGAGAGCAAAGCACTCCTGGGTGACCTTCAGGAGGGTGAGAAAGGTAGCAGGGGGCAAATATGGCTGCCAGGTCTTAAGTAGCCTACAGGTGTAGTCTTGAGCAGCCCCCCAGGGGAGGAGCTGACCTTTGGCGGGCTTTTTGAGGGGTTGGAGTTTGGAATTGGAGATTGGGCTTAGGGTGGAACTTGTATCAGAACATTCCAGACTCTGGGTATATGGATGCCAGGGGCTGGGGTGAAGCTTCCACCAAAACAATCATCTCTCATAGCTGCCCTGGGTGGAACTTACTATGTAGCACAGGATTGCCTGCAAACTCACCATCTTCCAGTCTATATTTAAGAGTGGATTTTGTGTTTTGGTTACAATGCCTGGCTAATAGACTCTACTTTGAAAATATTGCAGTGAAACAGGGCATGGTGGCAAGAGACTTCCCAGCATTTTGGAAAAAGAACTAGGAGGGTTCCAGGTCAGTTAGGTCTATATAGTGTCTGGCCAGGCCCAGTTTAGGGTCTCAAAATAAAAATAAAAACAAAATATGGTTTAGCAGTTAAGAGCACTGGCTGCTCTTCCAGAGGACCTGAGTTTGTCTCCCAGCACACACATGGTAGTTCACAGCCATCTGTAACTTCAGTACCAGCAGATCTGCCCTTTTCCAGCCTTCATATGCCTCAGGAATACACTCAGCAGGCAAAACACCTATACACAAGTAAAACTAAAAAACAGGACAGAACAAAAAATAATTGAGGTGAGGCTGTTTGGTACTAGGGGTCTGATCCTGGGGCCTGCCCATGTGAGACAAATGCTCTAGCAACAAGTTACATCCCAAACTCATTCATTTCATGGAGAGACAAGGCCACTTTGTGGACTCACAGAACAGCCTGGAACTGGAGTTCTTTCTCCATTGTGTCCCTAGTGCTGTGATTCTAGGAGTGTGCTAGCAGCCCACCTGGCTTTGTTTTGAGACAAGGTCTTGTCAAATTGACCAGGCTGAACCAACCACATTCCTCCAGCTTCAGTCCCCAGAAGAGATGGGACTTCTGTCATCAAACCTCGTTCCCAGGACTGTTTAAAGACATTCCAGTTTATAAAGCCACAAAACAGTAGCTTAAGGAGTATAATCTAAGGGCTTACAAACTAATTAATCAAATGTAGAGTTGGAAGGTCAGGAGTTCAACACAAGCCTAGGCTTAATAAGACTCAGTCTTTTTGAGACAGGGTTTCTCTGTAAAATGTTGGAACCTGTCCTGGCACTCACTCTATAGACCCAGCTGGCCTACAACTCATAGATCCACCTGCCTCTGCCTTCCAAGTACTGGGATTGAAGGAGGGCACCTCCACCACCCTGCAGGTCTTATAAAACTTAATACAACCAAAACAATACAGCAAATTCCATTCAATGGGCATTTCTCATTGCAGCCTGATCTACAGAGCATGTTCCAGGAAAGTCAACGATACAAATTGAAACTCTGTCTTGAAAAAACAAAAAATAAATAAAATCCAAACACTAAGGAGGTAAAATTAAGAGAATCAGCTGTTAACGTAAGGCTAGACCACATAAGACTATGTCTTCGGGCTGGAGAGATGGCTCAGAGGTTAAAGGCACTGACTGTTCTTCCAGAGGACCTGAGTTCAATTCCCAGCAACCACATGGTGGCTCACAACCATCTATAATGAGATCTGGTGCCCTCTTCTGGCCTGTAGGCATACATGCAGGCAGAACACTGTATACATAATAAATTTTTTTTAAAAAAAAGACTATGTCTTCAAAGTAAAATGAAATAAAAAGAAAATGAAAATTGAGTCAGATACGATGGGACAGTCTTGTAACCTGCATCCCAATTCTTGGAAGAAAAACCAAGAATTCGAGGCCAGTTCCAGATATATAGTGAGCTCAAGACCATCCTTGGCTACATAAGACTCCATTTCAAGCGAGATAGGGTTTTTCTATGAACCTTTTGAACCTGTCCTGGAACTCGATTTGTAGATCAGGCTGGCCTCCAACACACAGATACCCCACCTGCCTCTGCCTCCCTAGTGCTGGGAGGAAACTTGCGCCACCGTCCGCCTGGCTTCAAGCAAAAATTTTATGTGAGTTCTACTTCAACCTGTTGTACATGTGACTGTCTCCATAAAGAGAGGGAAATTTCAAAATAAGTCTTTAGCAGTGAATGCGGATTTTAACTTTTTTTTTCTTTCCGGAGACAGTTTCTCTGTGAATCTCTGGCTGTCCTGGCACTTGCTGTGTAGATCAGGCTGGCCTCAAACTCAGAGTTCTGCCTGCTTCTGCCTTAAGAGAGCTTGGACTAAAGGTTATGTTTTTGTTTTTCGAGACAGCGTGTGTGTGTGTGTGTGTGTGTGTGTGTGTGTGTGTGTGTGTGTGTAACAGTCCTGGAACTCACTTTGTAGACCTAACCCAGAGATCTGTCTGCCTCTGCTTCAAGTGCTGGGATGAAGACATGTATCACCACCTCCAGGCTCGGGTTTTTGTTATTTCTGTCAGGAGGATGAGGCGGTCTGAGGCCATCCTAGAGACTCTCTGTGAATAACCAAAGAACGTAAATTTTAAGTTGACACAAACCAAGGCATAATTCTATATATTCAAGTAACTCCCAGCTTGCAGTTTCAGCATACATGGGGAGGCAGAAACGGGAACTGCCAGGGTTTCAGCTACGAGTGGAGTGGAACCTTGTCCCCCCTCCCCCCAAATTAATAAAAATCAAAAGACATCTAAGGTGATGGCAAACTTCATTATTAGTAACCCCAATGCCAACAATCTGTCCGTGTGAAGAGAAGAAATCAGAGTTCCCTTGGCATCTTGAGTCAAACGCCCCTGAATCTCTGTGCCCTGATGGAGGTGGTTGACTTACCAGAAACAAACACTAATTACAGAACTGGGGAACCCAGAAGAACCAGGCAGCCACTCCGGGTTCGGGCTCCAAGGCTTTGAGTATCTTCGCCGGCTCCTCTGAGGATTTATAGTCCATCTTCACTTCACACTTCCGTCCTGAAGCTGTCTCATTCGTGTCCCGCCTTACACTTCCGGCCTGAAGCTTCCCCTCCCCCTCAGTATTCCGTCTCACACTTCCGGTTTGCAGCCCCGCCTGCCAACCACAAGCTGTCAGCCGATTGGATGATTGAGTCTCCGCCCTGTCGCCCTGTCTGAGCTCTTCCAGTCTCCCTGGATTCAACACAAATTCTCTGTGAGAAAGAAAAAAAAAAACAAACAAGAAAGCCCTGCGAAATGGCTTATGCCTTTGATCCAAGCCCTGGAGAGGCAGAGGCAGGCAGATCTCAGTGTGTTAAAGGCCAAATTCTTTGAAAAAAAAAAACAAAAAACTGAAAACCGCGGGAAATGGGGCATGCCTCTAATCCCAGCCGATTCAGGCAGATCCCAGCCTGCTCTAAGCACAAATTTCCAATATAGTCAGGTCTCTATAGTGAGACCTAGTCTCAGAAAAAAACAACAAAAACCTGAGATTCTGTGGAAGCCAAAAGCCCAGATGCACTCCCTCTTAGTTTGATCTTTATTTCTCTTATTTGTTTGTTTATTTATGCACTTGGCTTTGGATTTGTTCCTTGAATGAAAACAATAAAAAGGAAAGGAGGAGAAAGTTATTGTAGATAAAAGGGAGAGCATAGCCAGAGGCACAGTCTGGGAGAGTCCAGAGCCTATGTGACTGAGCCATGTGAGGAAATGGGAGAGGAAAGGAGAGAGAGGAAAAGGGGGAGCCAGGTGCTGCAGCCAAGAGGGCAAAAGGTTTAAAAAAGAAAAAGGGCAGGTAACCAAAATGGCTGAATTATATAGGGAAGTTCCCCTGGGAGAAGGGCAGCCGGATCCGTAGGTGGGAGAGTTCCGGGTAGAGGGTGCAAGCAGGAACTGAGGCATGCCACAAGATCCCAGTGGCCTTTTTGTTAAATCGGCACTTCAGCCATTTGTCCCAAGGTTTAAGACCTAAACTTTTTTTTTTTTTTTGAGACAGGGTTTCTCTGTGTAACAGCCCTAGCAGTCCTGGAACTGGCTCTGTAGACCAGGCTGGCCTGGAACTCAAAATCCACCTGCCTCTGCCTCCCCAGTACTGGGATTAAAGGCATGCACCATCATGGCTTTTTTTTTTTTTTTTAGCTAGGGTCTCACTATGTAGACCTGGCTGTCCTGGAGTTCACTATAGCTCACTAGGTAGAACAGACATTGAACTCACAAAGGCCTGCCTGCTTCTGTGCCCCCTGGGTGCAAGGATTAACAGCATGGACCACCACCCCCTGTGAGATTTCCTTTTCTTTGAGATCTCAAAGAAATCCTACAACTTTAAGAAATTACCTACATTTAAGAAATTCTTCCAGGGAGGAGGGGAGGAAGAGGGAATTAGGATTGGCATGTAAAACAAGATTGTTTCTTATTTAAATTTAAAAAAAGGAAAAAAAAAGAAATTATCCTACAATTTTAAGAAATTATCCTACAATTTCTTAAGAAGGAAGTTTATATTTGTTGCTGTCAAGTGAAAAAGGCCTGTTGGATTAGAATTTACTTTTATAGGGAGGAAACATTGTGGTTGTTATGTAAAATTAAGAAAAGAAACAGTTAAAGAAAAGAATATTTTTATTTTGGGGTCTTTTGTGAAAAAAGACCAAATCCACACATCCTATGCTGAGGATTAGAGACCTGAGCCACCAAGTCTGAAGGGATTTGTTTTCTTAAAATATATGTTCAACATGCACATGCCTTGTTACCTTGGAAAAGGATATCAGAGCATCCGCCCCCAACCAGAGTTACACACGATTGTAACCTGGCCTGTGAGTTCTGGGAACACAACTCAAACCCACCGCAAGAGCAGCAAGTGCTTTTAACCTCAGAACCATCTCTGCAGCTCTGTAGACAGCAGTTTTTGTTGTTTGGGGGTTTTTTTTGGGGGGGGGAGGGGAGCTTTCGAGGCAGGATTTCTCTGTGGCTTTGGAGCCTGTCCTGGAACTAGCTCTGTGAGACCAGGCTGGTCTTGGAACTCACAGAGATCCACCTGCCTCTGCCTCCCGAGTGCTGGGATTAAGGCGTGCGCCACCACTGCCCAGATACATGTGTTTTTTGAAAATACAGCCCTCTAGCCAGATGTGGTAGTTCAACCCCAACACCACAGATGGGAAAGCAAGGAGGTTACCAGACAAGAGCGATAGTTCAGACTTTAATCCCAGCATTCAGGAGGTAGAATGCAAGTGGATCTCTGTGAGTTTAAGGCCAGGATGGTCTACACAGTGAGTTCCATGCCAGCCAGGGCTTCATAGTGAAAATCCTGTCAAAAAACAAAAAACAAAAACAAAAACAAAAACAAACAAGAAAACAAAAAACGGAAGCGGTTAAGAGCACTGGCTGCTCTTCCAGAGATCCTGAGTTCAATTCCCAGCAACCACATGGTGGCTCACAACCACCTGCAATGAGATCTGGTGCCCTCTTCTGGCATACAAAAAGAAAAGAAAAGAAAAAAACAGAAGCAGTCAGGCGGTGGTGTCGCTTGGCTTTAATCCCAGCATTTTGGAGGCAGAGGCAGGTGGATCTCTGTGAGTTTCAGATCAGCCTGGCCTACAGAAATAGTGCCAGGACAGCCAGGGACCGGGCTATAAACCCAGTCCTGAGAAACAAACAAACAAAAAAACAAAAAGGTGGGGTGGGGTGATGCCCACCTTTATTCCCAGCACTCAGGAGGCAGAGGCCAGAGATCTCCATGAGTGTGAGGCAAGCGCAGAACACACAGCAAACTTCAAGCCAGATTCTCTCTCTCTCTCTCTCTCTCTCCCTCCCCCCCTCTCACACACACACAAAGTGTTTGAATCTGATCTGTGTTCCCCAAAGGGAAAGAATTAAGATGAGTTAAAGTCAAGACACATTCATGGATTCACTCCACAGAGATTTTTTTCAGTATGTGAGTGCCACAGTTTTGAAAGAAAGATAGCAAAGCTTTAGTCTATTTCTCAACAGAAAAAGAAAAAGCGACCAGACAGTGGTGGCACATGGCTTTAATCCTAGCACTTGGGAGGCAGAGGCAGGTGGATCTCAGTTCAAGGCCAGCCTGGTCTACAAAGTGAGTTCCAGGACCCACAGGACTATTACACAGAAAAACCCTGTCTTGGAAAAACAAAACAACAACAACAAAAAAGAAAGATATTTAGTGAATCCCAGGCCAGCCCTACTCCAGGCTGTAGATAACAGAATGGCTTAAAAAAAAAATGAGTTAAAGGCAGTGTTAGACTTACGCACTTCTACCCCAAGATTCCAGTGCAACATGGGAAGGCCTCTATGTCAGATAGCTTTAGAATCTCCATCTTAATCCAAAGTGAAGATGCAAGCACTCAGGAGGCAGAGGCTGGGGGGTCTCTGTGACCTCAAGGCTAGTCTATACTACAAAGGGAGCCCAAGGCCAGCCAGAGATACTTAGTAGGACCCTGGCTCAAACAAAACAACCACCACCAAGGCCCTCCATTTCAGCATCTGGGACCATGCTTAAAAGCAATTTTTCTTCCGTGCCTTCACAGCTGGCTTTTTGAAGACTGTGTAAAGGCACTTGCCACCGAGCCTGACAACCAGAACTCCACCCCCTGCATCTGAATGGTAGAGTTTCCCTCTAGTTCTTGCAAGTTGTCTGTCCTCTGCATTGGAGCTGTGGCATGCAAATGCCACACACATACACTGTTTTACCTCTGTACAAAATTAGAAAGCCTTTCTTTGTTACACTAAATGCACACACACACACACACACACAAATGAATAAATGTAAAACCATTATACTGTCATCCCATTAGAGTTACATTCCTGTGTTTGGGTTAGAGGCTGTCTTGCTGTGTACCCAGACTGGCATCAAATTCACAATCTTCGTGCCTCATTCTATCGAATACTGGAATGTAGCTAAGCACAACCATGGCAAGTGGGCACCAGGAGCTGGAGAGATGGGTCAGCAATTAACAGCTTTGTGATTGCTTTTGGTGATATTTTGTTTGGGCTCTAACAAATAAAGCTTGCCTGAAGATCAGAGGCAGAGCTAGCCACTAGTTAACCATAGAGGCCAGGTAGTGGTGGCACACACCTTTGATCCCAGCACATGGGATCTCATGCCTTTGATCCCAGTACTCAGAGGATGGAGATAGGAAATTGGTGGCTGGGTGGTAAGAGGAATATAAGGTGGGAGGAGACAGGATCTCAGCCCTTCAGTCTGAGAACTCCTTAGAGGTAAGAGGTCTCTCTAGTGGCTGGCTCCTTTACTTCTCTGATCTTTCTTTATGTCATTTACTATCACATTGGTAGTTAAGTGCAACTTTGCACTGTTAAAATCTGCTGTTTGATATTACAATACATTCTTTTTTTTTCTGTTTTTTTCGATACAGGGTTTCTCTGTGGCTTTTTGGAGACTGTCCTGGAACTAGCTCTTGTAGACCAGGCTGGTCTTGAACTCACAGAGATCTGCCTGCCTCTGCCTCCTGAGTGTTGGGATTAAAGGTGTGCACCACCACCGCCTGGCCCTGACTCAGGGTTATTATTATTATTATTATTATTATTATTATTATTATTATTGGTTTTTTTGAGACAGGGTCTCTCTGTGTAGCTTTGGAGCCTATCCTGTAACTCGCTCTGTAGACAGGCTGGCCTCAAACTCACATAGATCTGCCTGCCTCTGCCTCTGAGTGCGAGAATTAAAGGTGTGCGCCACCAACGCCCGGCCAGGGGTTTTTATTATTAAGAACAATTAGAATCCATGCTACACAGTTTGTTTGTGCTACTCTTCCAAATGATCTGAGTTTGGTTCCTAGTACTCACACTGGGCAGCTCACACCCCCACATGCAACTCCAGCTCTAGTGTGTCCTACTCCCTCCTGTAGCCTCTGTGGGCACCTGTACCCACCCACATGCATGAGTGTACACACCACACCCACACACACACACACACACACACACACACACACAATTTAATTGGTAACTTCACCCATTTCACAGATTGTTCTCAGCTATGCTCAGCC